GGCTCAGCATTTCATAAACCTTTTTTTGAGGGAGCGGAGTGTACAATATCTAGTGAATAAACCCCAGAGTATAACCAACAAGACTAAAGTGCCCCCCTTCTTGGCAATGATCTGTCAAGAGATCCAGAGACAACAGTTACCAGCAACACTCTAGGAAGACTGGCTGTCACCAGGAGGGACTTCTAACACTGGCCATACCTGCCCCACCCGCTCTGGCAGGGGCCTGGGAGGAAAGGGCAGATGGAGAAGAACATGTGCAGTGGGCCTGAGGTGCAGGTCTTCCAGGCTTGGACTGGCACAGGAGCTGAGGGCTTCCTCAAAGCACAGACAAGTCCCCTGACACTGGTGGGGCCCATGCTCTAGATACAGCATGTCCCTGGAGCAGGGAGGGTGCCCTCCCTGACCATGGAGTTACACAAGTGAGGACTGGATTGGTAAGCCAAGAGTGCTGGTGCTTGGTCTAAAAAATGGAATGAAACTGTGTCTTTTAATAATTTGGCCTCTAAAGCTGAAGTGGAAGCAAGCTCTGTTTTTCTCCTGGTATTCCCATTCAAGTGGAAGCACAATCCGAGACGTATGGGATCCTTTGTTACTCGTAGAGCTGCCGTGACCTGGCATTTCCCCGGTTATGGAGTGCATATTTCACCAGAATGCAGACATCATGAATCTAGGCATGTTCGTCTCCTTGAGAAATTCATAACAGCTATTGGGAAAGACTAACCTAGGGCGAGAGATTCCACAAGTGCCAGATGGGTGGGGTTTATAAACCGAATTTCTTGAGTTTCAGGTTGGGGCACAGTTTTAATCCAGGTAAAGATCTGGGCTGCCACTGGGTGTGGGGGGAGGCATGGGGGGTGAGCCCCGAGAGGCACTGGGCAGCTGCTAGGAATGAGGCAGGAGTCCATATCCCTTCCCCCAGGGCTGCCCCGGGGGAAGCAGATTTAACTTGAAAGTTAACAAAAACTTTTATTTTGGTAGGATAATTTCTGTTGTCAAATGGAGAAAGGGTGAGGGGAAAATTCTGTAAAACTTTCCAAAGTGTGGGTGTAAAGAATGGGGAGGGACCGCCGGGCGCCCTAGCATTATGGGAGGCCGAGGCGGGCGGATCGTTTGAGCTCAGGAGTTCAAGACCAGCCTGAGCAAGTGCGAGACCCTGTTTCTACTAGAAAAAAAAAATAGAAATTAGCTGGACAACTAAAAAATATATATAGAAAAAATTAGCTGGGCATAGTGGCATATGGCTGTAATCCCAGCTACTCGAGAGGCTGAGGCAGGAGGATCGCTTGAACCCAGGAGTTGGAGGTTGCTGTGAGCTAGGCTGACGCCATGGCACTCTAGCCCAAGGCAAGAGAGTCAGACTCTGTCTCAAAAAAAAAAAAAAAAGGGGGGGAGGGAGGAGAGCAAATACATGAAATGGCACAGAGGTATTTACAGTTAATCATGAGATTTGCTTCTACTTGCTCAGTAGCTGAGGCATCTGCTCCACCAAATAGAAGCTTTCAGTTGCTGCTGCTCACAGGAGCAGCAGCACAGGAGCTCACCTAAGAGATCCTGAGTGTTGCAGCCAGACTTCACCGCTGGACTTTTGGTCCTCACTTGGAACTGGCCAAGATGGAGGGATGGCAGCTTGTCCGGGCACCTACAGAGGCTGCTCACAGCTGGGGGAGTGGCACAGCCTGCTCTTGAGCGCCCTGTCACAGATCAGAAAGACGATCCGAAAAGATCTGGTTGTGCTTTCAGATTAGCTGGGCATTTGCAGTAAGGGAGGAATTTCAGTTTGTTTTGTATAGAAAACTAGAATTCCAGTATGTTTCAATCAAGTAAAAATGTCTTACTGAAAAGGAATATGATTGCAAAAACATCCCCCAATTCTGGGTTCACCTTTTACAGATACTCTGATTTCTAGGATAGCAGAGTCCACGGATACAAGTCTCCTGTATCCCTCAGCCCAGACAAGTGTTCCTCGAATATACTTGTCTGGTATCGCATGAGTAAAAAAGGAGAAAAATTACATATACACTCATACATATGCATGTAAGTGTATATGCATAAATCATCTGGAAGGATACCCAAGGAACAAACTAATAGTGGTACTCGTGGGGTAAGCTGCGCTTGGTGGTGGTCAGGCATGCAAGACTTTTAACTCCTTTATAACTTGTGAGCCATGTGAAGGGACTACCTATTTAAAGCATTAAGATGGGAATACTCAGCACTGAGCAGCCAGATCAGAGTGCGCTGTGGGCAACGGTGGATCGAGGTGACCCAGGAAGATGAGGAGAGGAGAGGAAAGGAAAGGAAGGAAGCCAGGCGAACCAGAGCCCCAGGGAAAGCCCCTGTGGCTCAGAAGTCTCCTGGGCAGAGGTTCCATTTCTACCGTGACTGCAGAGGAACCCATGTGACCTGGATGATGATAGGTGGTATCAGCAACGCCATGACCCCAGGCCTGCTGCCCACTTGTCTCTGGACATGGGCTAATCCTCACAAGAGGTGGCAAGAAGGACATTGTTTTTATGTAGTCCCTGCTTGGTGCATAAGGAACTGAGGTTTTCAGAGGCTCACCTGCAGAAAGGTGCAAGGCTAGTGATTGGCAAGGGGGCCATTCAGATCACCCCAAGCACTTGTTCTGCTTTGAGCTTTGGGGATACCACCCATGTGCATTTCATAATTCCCAGAAAGCCTCTCAGCAAACTAACTCTTACAGTTGCCTAAAGTAGTGTACAGCAGGTTCAGGTCATGAAGATGCCCTGCTTTGAAGTGGGCCTGTGAAAAGGGACAAGGCCTGAGGCCATTCATCTGATGGATCCAATGAGCTCAGCACTGGGGACAAGGATTTTCATTTGTCTTGTCAAGAACCGGGTATTTGCTATGGTGCTCACATGGTAGTAATATTCTCCAGGGATTGGGGGTGGGTAAACTCACAACTAATGGACGCAGTGAGCATTGTAGAGGGGAAGGGCATGCCTCTAATCCTCAATTGAGTGAGGCAAAGACGTAAAATGTAATCAAAATGTTTGTACCCTCATAATAATCCTGAAATAAACAAAAAACACAACAGGGTATTTGGTAATGGTGGGAGGTCCCCTGGATCCCTCAGTGCAGACTGTCCCAGGGGCAGAATGCCCCCACTTGGCCGTTCCTGTCTTGTTTTGCTCCCTGGCTAGGCAAGCACCAGCTACAAGGATCTCATCTGTCAGGGACAGACTTAACGAAACCACATTTGGCAAAGAAAAACAGCGGATGTCAACTTCTAGTGTCAGGCTGGTTTTGTTCTTATTTCTAATGCCAGCTGAATTTAGTTGTCCCCCCTAGCAGCAACTAGATAATGATTCAGCCACTCATGGAGTCCAGTCAGGGGTGTGTTACTCTTCACTAACTCGCCGCACACCAGTAACATCCAATCTTTGAGTTGCTTAAGACACATGAAGACAAAGCACACCAGCCAGTAGTTCAAGAGCAAACCAGAGTCCCCTACACATTAACAAAAGGTCTCAGTAACTCATGGAGATAGATGTGGAAAGGGTGGCCCCACTGTGGGGTTTGAGTCTGAGCCAAGAGAGTATAAAGGGATCTCTAACTCATTCTTTAAAAAACAAAAGCAAACAAAAACCTGGATGGATTGTCCTTAAAACAAAAAGCTGTGATTTTAATCAGAATTAAAGGAAGATGTAAATTAAAAGGCCTGCCTTTTGCAGGCACACCAATGCAGATGCACAGGAAAGTCCTGGTGGAGGACCCAGATGTGGGAAACAAACACGTTCAGGCTGTGTTGCTAAGAGTTGCAGAAACCACTGAGTGCTTCTGGGCCTGCTGCAGAATGACACCATGCCGAGAAAGGGGTGATGACTAAGAGCAGAAGGAATACTCACAGCTCCAGCTTCCCGCCCAATTCTAGCAAAAGGAATGCATTTTAAAAAGCACTCCACGTTCACAAGTGCCGAGAAAATTACGTCAGTGGCGCCTCATCTGCGCAAAGCAGACCCAAGATGGTGCCCAGTGCAGACTGCAGACTGTTCCTGTGCTTTCCCCTAATGGCCAGAACTATTTGGGCCATGCGCCTCTGGTCCATTGCTACGCATCAATCACCTCAAACTTGCCTGTAGCTCTAACACAGTGAGATGAATTAACTTGCTGCTCTTCCAAAACAAGGACTTGGTGAGCCTGTCTCCTTGGTACTGACACATAGGGACACAAAAAGGCTGCAACTGAAAGGCTAGAAGCTTAATAAAAGCTGTGAGCAGCAATAATTTGTAGTAGAGATCATAGGAAAGTCCTCCTTTGAGGGGGGAAAAATTCTCTTTCCTACTGGAGCGCCATAACAAATAGGTAATATCTGTCTCAAGACCATTCCATGGAAAATGGTAGATGTCAGCTATTGATGAGGCTAATCCAGAAGCAAGCCTACTCTGACACTGGAGACAGTTCACTGTTAATTGGGTGTTTTGCAGCATTCAACTCTATCATGCCACAAATAGCGCAAAAAAGAGGGTCACAGTAGGAGTGTACAAATAGTTCTTTTCACGAGTGCCAGACAGGCTAAGGCTTTTACGTAAAAATATTCCATACTTGCAGTCCAGTTGGCATGCCACAAATAGGTCACACATAGGAAATGGCCAATTCTGACCAACTGGATTTGTAATTTTCCAAACTGGATTCTGCCCAGCATTTTTCTAGGCTAATGGGAATTTTCCTCCTCATCTGACCCCAGCCACCTGAGCCAAGGACAGGTTCCCTTTCCAAAGATGGTAAAAAAAATTTCTGGAGACATGCCAGAGTAGCAAAGCTCCCCGCATCCTCTCCACGTCATGCAGACAGTATTTCCAGTGAAAAACTTCCCCCACTCCCACCTGTGGGCTGGAGGAAAGCCATCGGCACGGAGTTGAGGCAGGCATTCCTGCGATCGAGGGAGGTGGAAAGCAGGGCTGTGGAAAAGAATTTTCTGTCTGAACCACTGCTGCTTTCCATAGCTAATTTATACAATATTCACAAATCCTAATGGACTCTGAGTCGTTTCTAGAAAAGATGGACAGAAAGAGCCAAAGAGCAGCATGCATTTCTCTGCTATAAAGACACTTTCAATTAGTTGTCGCAAGTCCAAATACTGAGGCACACACCAGTGGTGGACAGCCCTGCAGGAGCTTCCTGAAACTATTTACAATTCCAAGTAGATCACCGGCTTCAGAATTATGTAGGGATCTTATTTGGGATAAACCGTTAAAATGCGAACAGGTATTTTCTCTTAAGTTGAAACAGATAGGGCACGCAAGGGAAGGACAAAGGGAGAGGCAAAGGGGCCAGCACCCCATCATCTGGCGGGGCTGGGAGCAAGGGCCCTTCTCAGAAAGATGCTCCTCTTCCCAGCTGCTGGAGGGGCTCACGCTGGCACCTCCAGAGGCAGTGGGCCCGGACCAGCAGCGATGCTGGAACCACACTGCACATATGGGGACGTGGGCAGCACTCTGGGGTCCCCTGGGTCACACAGGGACAGTGGGGCTCCTGGCGGGCCTCACTGGTGACTGGGGTGGGAGTGGGGGATGATAGGATATGGCTTCTGACCAGGCCTTTGTAAGCGCATCTAATGTTTTTAGCTTAGATGGTTTGATAGCAGGTGCTGTGATCTCGAGGGGAGAGGGGTGGCAAGGGGCACTGCTGCTTGGCTGTACCTAAGCCCTTGGGTTCTAGGATGGACTGATCAAAGGAACATAACACGAGCCTTGTTGGCACTGCCTCACCCACCACTGGCAGCTGGTTGTGCTGGTTTTACTTGGATCAGGGCTGCTGGGAAGGTTTGCTGCTGCAAAGGCATGCGCGGCCTGCACAGAAGCTCATCTTCATCCGTCCACGGGGTGGGGGTGTGGCTTTAAAGACCTGCCCTCCGCTCCCTTCTCTATCTCTCGTTTCTCTTCCCTCCTGCTGGACATGGAGACGAGGGTCTGTGAGACAGTGTAATGGAGTTAGTAAGAGACCCCCCGGGAAGTTTGAGACAAGCCCACAGCCTCATCCACTCCTCTTCTCTAGGCAGCGGGTAGAGTCAGAGTGCTTTGGTTGTCACAAGACCCAGACGCTTAGGTTCCCAGCTTGGCTGGCCCAAGAGTTCTTCATGAGGCAAAGCAAGTGGCAGCTGGTGCCCCAGGTAGAGGGCCGCCAACACAGAGACTGCTTGTATTCCTCCTGGCTCCACGCAGATGTATCCAGCAACAGTCTGATCCCTGTGGTGAACTATACAATGTTCTCTGCCCCAGGGAGGGGCCCCTGGGGCGGTCCACGGTCCTGCTTACTGTGCAACTGGGCCAGCTGCAGAACCGGCATGTTGCATAGGGGACACACTTTCCGAACCTCCAGCCACTTAATAAGGCACCTGCAGAACAAGACGCCATGTCAGTCCCATGCTCGTAGCACCCACCGCTGCTGTGTACAGTGAACACATCGGTCACCCAGAGCCAACGCGGTAGACGTCTGGTGTATGGTCCAAGGAGCTCCACCGCTAGGCAGTGAATGCACGTCACCCTCGGGAGGACCAGAGCCTCCAGTCTTCTACAAGGTGATACTAAGCAGCCACAGTCAGCATGTCATACCCTCAGTCAACTATGACTGCTTAAAGAAGAACAAAGTATGCTGAAGAGGGTGGTGGGAAGGAGGAAAAATAAAATTTTCTAAAACAAATATAAAACATGAAATTGCAAGAGAAGAGGAAATATTAATAGATCTGTAGGAAGGGGGAGGAGACAGCCCCAAACTACCATTTATATCTCAAGTTTATTTATTTTGATAACTATGGTTTTGATTAAAATAAATTTTTAGGAGTTGGAAGAGCTCATCGGAAAGTTCCAGCTAAATAGCTGTGTATTACCTGGAGTTTAAAGAGGTCTGGGCTCACCTGGCTCTCTGCCCAAAGTCCTGCCGTGGTGGTCCCACCACAATCCCTCCAAATGTCACGCACGCACACGCACACACGCCCCACTCGTAGAGTGCTGTCAGCTTTCTACATTATAGGCCAATCATGAAGCCATCAAGCTTGTCTGGCATTGCCCCCAAACCCACAAGTAAGTTGGTCTATGTGTCTCAAACTCAGGTCCCATTAAATAATTCCACACCAATACTCACTTTCTGTGGAAGGCATGCTTACATGGACAAATCCCCAATTCATCTCGAGGCTTGAAGTCTTCTAGACACACTGCACAGAGCTGAAAGACAAATTCACAAGTGAGGCCAAATGTCTGCTAAGTATTCTCCCAGGCCACCAAGAAGAGTGCAGGCTCCCACAGCCCAGCCATTTGAAGGGACTTCTAATGTCCTACAACTCATTAAGTGAAAGAAACAGGCTCAAAGGGATGAGGTCTTCTCTGGAAGAGTCCCATACCTTCCTGTCACATGTCTTAAAGATGGGTGGGCAGACGGGAGGAGACAGAAAGCAAGAGGCAGCTTCCTTTCCTTCAGTGCATCAGAGAAGTGTGATTTCGGGGTACCCTTGCATACATAGGTGTAGTCTACTGTCATCTGTCATCTCCTAGGGGGTGCTGAGGCACCGACTTTCCCAGGGGTGCTCTGCCAGCTCAGCAGTGCAGCCCTGGCCATCCTTTCTCCAGTTTTCATGGCACAACCTGCAGTAAACATGCTATTTATGGTTCTTGGGCCCTCCACTTTGGCACTGTCCTGTCAGTGTCTATCCTTGTCATATAAAAAGTTCATAAAGACCCACTAAGTTAAAACTTATGAAAATGTGCAGATGGGGCCAGGATTGCTCTGACAGATGACTAGTCTCCACTGCTCGGAAACAGGCCTTCTCCTTCATACCAGAGATGCTGGGATCCAACATGACTTCTTGGGCATTTACCAGTGCTCGTGGACACTATGCATCATCACATTTACCCATTTTACAGATGAGGAAAAAGCAGCTCAGAGCAATAATCACATTGCTGGAAGCCATTCAGGTGGGGAGTGGCCAGGCCTGGCTGGGGACCCAGGTCTGCTGCACTGATGTGCTCTTGTACCATTTCTGTCTCCTGCCTAAGGGCTGAACTCCTCCCTGCTGGCTTCTCTGTCCATTCTCAGGGATCCTGGTTCAGGCCATCACTTCTTGCCCATGGCTTCACTGTCACCAGTTTCTTAACCTATAAGATGCACCCCAGTCTTCTTAGGTTATGTGACACGATCTAGGCAGGACATGTAGCTCTTGGTGCCCCATAGCCAGTGCCAAGAATGTTGGTCTGTCAACATCCTTGTTGAGGGAGCTCTCGGGCCTTGTGTGTACAGCAGACAGGATCTCCACAGGAAGAGGAGGAGGATGGATAACTGTGTCTTGTTGGACTCAGCATCCTGCCAACACAGCAGGGGAGCAGGACAGTGGGGGGCCTCGGCTTGGACACCTACTGGCTGTGTGGCCTCTCCTCTCACGACACTCCACAGAGCACTGTTCCTTCATCTGCACAATGAAGACATGACTTGCCCTGGTCCTCACAGGACTGTCATCAGCACAGGCTGGGGGACAGGGCTGAGGATGCAGTAAGGCAGTCAACCAGTACCAGTTGTTTTTATTAACATTTACATTTGTGGACACAGGCTCAGGGTTCTGCAAGGCTATTTATGTTCTGATGGGCGAGGCCTTCTCTGGTGGGGTGGCAGAGCAGAGGCTGCCTTATCTGCCCAGGTGACATACCGATATACTCAACGGTTAGAAGAGACTGAGGCTGAGACCCATGCAGTCTGGTGTTCCTGGTGGTGTGGCCAATCAACCCAGCTACCCAAGAGCGATCGCATCATCCATTTTCAGGCACACTGCAGTTATAGACTGTTTCTCCTGACTCTCTGGATGGCACCCCAGCCCTAACCTAGGTGACCCTTCCCCTTGTTACCCTTTCTCCCCTCTCTGAAGCCTCCATTACAAAAGCTCAAGGGAGGAACCTCTGGGGGTGGGGGGAAGAGGAATGGAGGAGGAGGAGAAGACCTAGGCATATGCAAGGAAATAACTATGGTCAGGTCATGTTTTCTTTACAGACAAGGAGCACAAGGCCAAAATCAACAGGGTCACAAGCCTGCTCTTGGTGTCATCAGAATTAGACCACACCCCAATTTCTAGATGGACCCTCACATGCCAACAGACGCCTCGCCTTCTTTTATGAGATTGACCAGTGCCTCCCTTGATCACATTCTAGAAAAGTAACAGTAATGAATGGAACTGAAAGGTTATTTGATGAGAAAATTTTAAAATATGTCTAATGGGTATGGAAGGTAAGCTGTAAAAGTACTCTATTTTATGTTTAAATACTGTTTTACTATCTCAGATATCTCCTGGGGTACTAGTAGAGTAGCACATCCAGGGTAGCAGGGGTGGGCATTAGTCTCGGAATGGCTGATCTGTATCATCCATGACACATGATGGATGACATGTAATGACGCTGGCCTGCAGCTGCTGGTGGCCACCTGCCTCAGCACAAGGATGAGGACAAAACCTCCATGCAGGAAGCAGAGGGAGACAGAGGCTACATTGTGACTTCTTGAATCCAGCCTCATCTGAGGCCAGTCCTTCCTTTGACTTCTCAGTTCAGTGAGTCAGTAAGTTCCCTTTACTTCTCAAGTCACTCTGATTTGGCTTTGTCACTTGCTACTGGAAGATCCTTGATCAATACGGTAACATTTATCTCAAAGGTACCCATTTGGTAGTTCTAATCACTGAGTATAAGTCCAAGAAAAAAAGCCTTTGAAACAGTCCCAAATGGATGCTTCATTCTAAGCATTAAAATTCTGTATGGCAGCAAAACCCAGCCAACCAACCACACACATGACTGTTCATAATAATATACTGTTCAAAATATAAAACTGGTTCTGATTCTGGGTAAGACGAGTAAACACATGCAATTCTTTCTTTCCCACTGCATGCAACTATAGAACCTAGACAGAATATAGGACACGGCTATTTGAAGACTCTGATGAGTATTAGCAAGGGGTAGATTGGGAAAGAACATCAGAGTTCAAAATATTTCCACTCTGGTGGTGAGTTTTCCATTCTTTTACCCCCTCTGGTATCCCCTGGCCAGAATCAATGCAGATGAAAACCCAGAAGTGAGCACTGTGGTGCAGAGAAGGATCCAGGAGAAGTCCTCTAGCTGTGGCTCAAGGAGCCAGAAAGGGAACTTGGTAAAGCTTAGAGAGAGTGGGGTAGTCCTCCAGTTGTTTCTCTTATTTCCTCCATTCTCTTGCATGCTACTCTCCAGGCAATCCTGTGGTAGCAGCAGCAGTACTGATACCAGTTGGCAATGGGGGCATGTAGAAGACAAAAAAACTCTGAAAAAGAACTTTCCTCTTTGATTGCTAGAACTATAGCTCCAAGAAGGTGGGGACAAACCTCATTGCTCCTTTTTCCTGCTGTGGTGCTGGATGGAGAACTCAAAGGGGCGTTACAGGGAACCAGAAAGCACAGGGGGGACAGCAAAGAGGGAGGAACTTGGGAAAGCAACCCCATGGAGCTGTTTATGAACAACTGGGATCACCCCTGACCTGCATATGCATGCATCTGATTCTAACTGGCAAACAAAAGACTTGGGGAACTCAGCTAACTGGGTCCCAGTCTGACTGCTGGGTGGTACACACACGAGACAGATCTGGACAGCATTGTAAAGGCTTTGAAAGCTGAACTGACATTGGAACCGAAGCCCACAGAAGGCAGGTTGGAACCTGTGACCTAACCAGGTCGGCTGCCTGCCAAAACAAAAATATCAACATCCTCCGGAGGATTTAAACAAGATACAGAGTCTCATAACAGGCCGGGCACGGTGGCTCACGCCTGTAATCCTAGCTCTCTGGGAGGCTGAGGCAGGCGGATTGTTTGAGCTCAGGAGTTCGAAACCAGCCTGA